TTTTATACCCAAAATATCACATTTTCTCATATTTAGCATTTAAGGCTATTGTTTACGTTTTATACATAAAATGCATGATTTTGAACATATTTATATTTCAGAATTAATTTGAACGTATTATTTTCCTTGACAGATATGTTTTTTTAGATATATTTTGGAACACAAAAAGTTGAGGAAGATTATAAAGTTGGATTTATGAAGCACAATATGAAGAAGAATGAAGATTGGGCCAAGTTCACACATGACCCAAATTAAACCCATTATCTAATCGGCCCGGTTATAGTGACACCGGAGAACGGTGCCACTAGCGGTGCCACTCGGTTTTTGGGGCACCTCCGGTGCTCCAAAAACCCAGTGACACCGGAGTGGCACCGTTTTGCGGTGTCACTGGAACCAGACCACTATCTAATTAAATAAAAGGAAGAAACAAAAGGAAAAGAGATAAGAAAAAAGATTGGAACGGGAGAAAAAAAGAGAAGTGGCGCAAGAAACGAAAGGGAAGAAACTGATGTGAGGAATCCTTCTCTATTTGCAATGCCGAGTCTTCACCTTCAATTCATTCTCTTCTAATTTAATTATAAAAGAAAACTAAGGCCACAAAACAAGGGGGGCGGATACAGAGACAAAAACAGAGAGCAGAAAGAGACCGGAGCAGAGGCCGACCTAGGGTTCCGACCCTAGGTCCGGCGATGGTGGCGACGACGACATGGGGTCCGGCGATGATGGCCATGGATGGTGCAACTAGTTTGGTAGTCTTCGGTCCCTTCTTTGTTAGTGAACGAACAAAGGAGCAATACAGAGGGGAGTTTCTGTGGCTTTTAATTTTACTTCAAACTTTTAATTAGGATTTTGAATTTTTTTATTTTCCAGTTGATGAATTTGATATCCATTATTTAAATATTATTATTTTCAATTCGAATTCTATGTTGAATGTTTAAGTTACTCCGTATATTATAAGTGTTGATTTATTTGAGTGTTGATGTTGAATTGTTCAAGTTTTGATTTATTGATTTATTATTGTTTCTGGAATTATAAAACATTCTTAGGCTAAATTGTTTGACAAAAAGATTGAATCTTTGTTTGTTGAATTAATTTGACTATGAAGAGATTTTAGCTCTACGTTACTGTTAAATCTAAGCTCTAAAAAGTGTTCTGAGAACTATTATTCAGTAGATTTTACTTAAATTGGACCAAATTAGGAACGCGCGCCTAATCCAGTTTAAAATGATATTCTTTTAAAGTCCAAAATGCTTTAAATAGCCAAACTTTTCTAGAAACTAAGTGTCACTTGATTAGTCTTGACTGCCTCGCTAAGTGGTTTTTGCTAATCAAGGTTCTCGAATTGATTTTGTTAAATAACCGTAGTGTTACTGCAAAGTCGTTGTGGTGATTTTTTCCACGAATCTTAATGCGCTATTCTTAGTAGTAACTTAAGGGTTGGTCTTTGTGTTGCTAAGGATAGTAGGGTTTAGACTTAGGGTTGGTCTTAACATGAACTAATATGAATGGGAGAATAGGAAAGAATAGTTGGTGGACCTCTTCTTCAGCCTAACCCTGAGTTTACTTAGCCATTTAATTTCAGAATCAAGACATAATTAATTAGTTAATCAGAATTGTTCAGATTATTTTCTATTAAAAACTATAAGTATTTTCAAAATGGTTTACGTTAAATCTTATTGTCTACATTTTTATAAAGTTTAATGTGTGTTTGTTTGTGTGTTTGTTTCTCCCCGAGTGTGTTTTGAGTTCGAATTGTTATTGTGCTTCCATCTCATATCTGTTATCTGTTATCCTTATTTTTATTTTATTTGCATTTTTATCTTTTTAGAATTATCATTCAAACCCCCATATCCTTTAGTTTTAGTTTTTTAGATTTTAGTTAGTTCTTATTCAATAAAGGTGACAAAGTAAACTAATTTTCATAGCTTAAAAAGTATCTTTCCTCGTGGGATCGACCCTTACTTGCCATATCTATATGTTTTAATGAATATTAATTCATAAAGGGGGTTATATGGAAAATAATAAATTAATTTGTAGGTGCTACGACACGCCTAACAGTGAGCCCGTGGAAGCATATATGGAATGCGTGAAAGGGTATATGAAACGCGTGGAAGCGTATATGAAACGCGTGGAAGCGTATATTGTTGATAAAAGATTATAAGTACAAAGCAACGTTTAAGTCCGGCTGGTTACGGTTCTCAATCCGTTACGTATAAAAAGTAATTAAGTTGTGGGTGTTCTAGTGTCTCCCCAACTATCGTTCTTCCAAGGTACTTAGCTTGTACGTACTGGGTTGGAGGACGGCAATGACTCGATATGAGCCTTCATTGTTTTTGGAGAATTTTTCACCCTCGGTCAACTGACTGGCCTCCCTTAAACTAAAGTGATCATTTTCCGCCCTCGATCTGGCTTACTCTTAACAGTAGTCAAGCCGAGTGAGGTCTTTGGTCGGGGCCGGGGACCGTACACATTGGGCTCTTAGCGTGAATTTTTGGTGAACAACCCAAGTCGTTGAAGCAAGTGTGATGTAAATGTGAGCAGGAATCACACAATTAAGTTGTGGATACAATAATATCAAATCTGAGTTAAGCAATTACGGCAATTCACGGATTGAATAGGTTGAGTATGCTTTTGGCTTAACGGTCTACCCTGTTGATATAGGTGAAATTTTCTAAATGTCATGGCAAAAATAATTTGGAGAAAGTGAGTTGCTAATGGAATCAAATGTTTTGAATAGGCAAAATTGAAAGTAGGCCCACTCATTCTCACATGACATTCGGTTGGCCTTTACTGAGTGCATTGATCGAATTTCCCCCAAGAGCTTGTGGTGTAGTGTGGTAGGCCCAACTATTGTAAGAAGTCTGCCCTCAACAGAATTTGGTCACCTGCAATGTGCTCTCCTTTTTTCTCATATACTCCCTCCTTCCCCCATTTGATTACAAATTGGATTTAGGAGGAAAAATATCTCATATTTTGAAATCATTTTGTTTACAATTTGGTATATTGATAAGAAATAAAAATAATATATTAAAAAATTATGTCAAAAGTTCTATAAAACAAGAGGTGACATGATTATTCTGTTTTATCAAATACATAATGAAATAGCGTAAACAAACAAAAGGTATCGAGAGGAGAGAGAAAAAATTGTAATCAAATTGGGGACGGAGGGAGTGTTTATTTTCTATATTTTCTTTTGGACCTTACATATTACTATCTCCGTCCTAGAGTATTTGTCCACTTTCATTTTGGCACACCATCCAATGCACTTCTTTAATCCATTTTATCTTGTAATTTGTATATTAAAAAATTATAGAAATTATATATTAATAATCTATATGTTAAGACAAATCAAACAAGATCACACATGACTATATTTAGGCTTACACATTGAGAGAATTTGATGAGTCAAAGTGCTTAGATGAACAGTTCCAAAAGTCAAAACTGGACTAATACTCCGGGAGTATAATTGAGCTACAGCTAGAGTGCCCTTGCGTCACATCCACAACAATCAGCCTCAAAAACGCCGAAGCCCAGATAAGCACTGTTGCATCTGGTAAAGGTGAGAACCACTACTGCCTCAAAGATGGATACCAGTGGTTAAAAGATATGAAATGAGGCTTTCTGCAATACGAGAGAGAACTCCCGGCATGTGAATCCAGGTGTGTAATTCGAATAGCCCTAGGCTAAAGCCAAGAGGTATCAGGTAGAATGGGGCTACCTGGATTTTCTTACGGAGCAGAAAGGGAAATTGTGACATATTTATGGTGGCACATGCTAATTTCGGTAGCAGTTGTAGATTTGTTTTGACAGCAACCATGGTGATATGAATCTTATTAGCAGTAGATTGAGTGGAATTGTTAGTGGATCTCTGCGACAGTGAAGATGGCAGACCTCGAGGGATAGTAGTGCCTATGGTGGAGCTTAGCAGCAGCATCTATGATTGGTTATAGAGCTGCAACGATGTTGATTCAACCTGCGGTGAGAGTGGTAGACTCCATCGCCAGCAACATTGACGCATAGATCACAACAGTGCCTCGAGGTCTGCCATATTACTTTTTCGGTTTGGTATTCTTGGTTTTTTCGGGAAATTTCAGTTGCAGCTGAACTCATCTCATCAAGACCTTCTGTTTAAATATAAAATTGACCATAAAAAGGTTACTTTGAAAATATCTTATTTTAGCATTGTCGTTTTAAATTTTACTTAGGCAGAAACCGGAATCATGATTTATTATAAATTCGTTATTAACTTCCAGGGTATATTTTTGGACATGACACGAACGCTTCACCTTGACAGTACCAATTGTAATACTTATTTACAAAACCCTGACTAAAAAATTCCACTGACGTCATATGTGATTAAAAAAAATTTGTTCTTACATTTAGAACAAGGGCATTGAATATTATTTCCATCAACATATTCGGTTTGAGTAGATGAAAAGTTAATAAATTCTTCAACACTAGCAATGAAGTCATCTATCAATCCCCGACCATTAGAAGCATCTTTATTATACATCCAACTTCTAGGCTGCATGAATGACATAATGTCTGAAACAATAAATATGTATTAAAAGGAATTTATTAGTTTGTAAGTCAAAGGAATTAAAATTCAAAATGATTATATTTACTAATTGGTATAGAACAAAGTAAAAATATTTCTGCGTTTAAGTGTACATGTTCTTTAAAACAAGTGGTCATAATAATACTTTATTTTGCTAAATGATCAATTAAAACATGCATAAAAACATAAATTATCGGTTTTCATCCACAACCAAAGACAAAATGGAAGGTAAGTTGGCGGTTCGGTTCGATTTTACATGATAAATATTAAACCGTTGGTTATTCGATTCAGTTTTATGTGGTTTATATATATATATATATATATATATATATATATATATATATATATATATATATATATATATATATATATATATATATATATATATATATATATAATGGAGCGTTTAGAGAGAAGAAGCAGCAGCGATCCTCGCCAGCGAGTTTTTTACGATCACACTTCCCGGAAACCTAATTCCAGAAACTATGGCTATTCTGCACGATGCTCCTTATATCCAAATTTTCGACCTCCCACACAAGCACCTGAAAAGGCAAGATTTACAGATTATAATAATCACTGGATCCACCACAGCAAGGTAAGGAACGAAGATGGCCATTCAGATCCCCGGACTCAAAAGCGTTGGCGGATTCCTATGTCTTCAGCCACTCTCGTATGGTCATCTTGGGAGGAAAGGAGCAATCTTCAGCCAAAAAAATCAAGCCGCAATCATACATTTACTTTCCGAACCCAAACTAAGGTATTTGAGCTTTTCCACTCCTATTATAATAAAAACTTCTGCATAACTGAGTGTGGGTATAAAAGATTTCATCTCTGGTTCGATTTGGATACATTAAGATGGATTATGGAGTCTCTACCAAGGATATCTGTAAACAAAGCTTGGGCTCTCTTTTCGTTTGGTGATAACCGTACCATAGAGCTAGCAGCTGGTTCAAACAGAAGGGGTGAATTTGTTAAAATTCAAGAGAAAAGAAAGGAAGGGAACAGATACATCTTAATCCCCTCAGGACCTAAGAATACTGATTTGATTCTGTTCTTTAAGGCTGTGTCTTCTTTCATTGATAAAGTCGCCAAGGATGCTATAACTAAAACTCTTGAGATTGCTCCTGCAACTACTACAATTGCTCAAACTTCAGTGCAAACTCAGACGACAACTAAGCACCACTCACTGAGTCCTCCCCAATTGGATACATTGGGAGTTGTAACACCTAGGTTACAATTAGAAAAATATCACTTTGATAGTGCAGAACATAACGGGTTGATTGAGGCTTATTTGCGAATCGAAGGTATTGACAAAGACACCACTTCTCTTGAATGTGTGAGCCATTTGGATGCCACCCAGGGGGAAACTGTCCCAGCTCTCTTCCCTCCCCTGCCTAGTAGTACAATGTCCCTTTTTGCTCCACCCTTCATACCTATGTTGAAAAATACCTTTGCAGCACTTTTCTCTAAAGGACATGGAGTTGAGAACAAAGATAAAGAACCTTTGGATCCTTTCTCAAAGATAAATGACATGAGCCTAGTTCATAGTTTAAATGCAGTGGAAGACCTTATAGAGGAAAGGGATGGACCTATACTCTATACTCACTCAGACGGAGATGATAAAGTATTCATAGACTCCAAGCTTAGGCCTTTGCAAGTTGACTTCTCAAGATGCTTCAAACAACCCTTAAGCCTACGCAAGGAACTTAGGGGCACCAGAACATTTTCACCTTCACAAATAGTTACTAGAAGCAAAGCAAAAATTCTGGAAGAAGGTAAGAAAATAACTCCATTGCTATGGGAGGAGTCAGAGTCCCAAGATTCGTTCGAAGAGGAAGTCATCAAATGCTTCAAACTTTGCTGCCCAAACAAAAAAGAGGTGTGTTCCAAGATAGCCAACAAACCTTTGAAAAAAAGTCAAAAGAAGAAAGCAAAGAAAAGACTAAAAAAGAGTATGGCAACAGATATTGAGGATGACGAGGATGATTTTCTCCATTGATTATATGTTGATTTGGAGCAGCAGTTTTGGTGACTCAGTTTTGGCTATTTTGGGCTAATAACAGTTTCATACATCCTCATTCACTATTTATATAAGCCATCATCTAACTCCAAATTAACCAATGCTTGAGAACTTTAGGCTCTTTCTCTTATACACCCTCTTAGCCTCTAAGGAAATCAGGGGACTGGATGCAGCTGTTGACACAATGTTAGCCAACAAGCTCTAAAGAGGATTAATTGGTATCGTTATGGGCGGGGTCTTCGAAGGTGTTTGAAGGCTTGCAACTTAGATGGCCTGAAATCCCTTAATTTGGTACTTTGTTCCCCCTCACGGCTGTTCCTACTTGTCAATTGGTGTGGAACAAACTGCAGGAATGGTGTTTTGAAAAATGGTAAGGGTAAGGCATTGAGGATGACAAGGCAAATAGCTAAAAGCATCGAGGCAGTTGATCACGTGAAGATTCAGGTACTAAATTCCCGGTTTATTTAATCTATGCAAATGAAGACTCAAGACTTGTACACTCTTGCTACGGGGCTTTTCTACAAGACTTTTGAGGATCAAGCTCTAGGTGCTTCACTCCGCTAAGACTTTTGAGATTATGGTGAAAATTTTGAGGTTATGGTGTACTTTTGGGTCTATTGCAAGGACCCACTCCTGCATGATACACCCTTGGTCTCAGGTTCTTGTGCCAAGTAAGGAAGAGTCTTTGACTTTGGTTTTTGCTCTGGTGTCTCATGTTACTTGGTTTAGACTTATGATGCAGAACATTATATTGATCAGATCAATGGAGGTTTCCGAATTGATAGTGCAGGCATCTATTAGACTACCTGGAGATGTCCTCTATTATTGGAAGCTCTTTTCAAACAATGTGGACCTTTAGAAATCATCATTCTCTAGCTGGCAGATGGACTGAACTATGGGGACATAATTTGGAGTCTGGTTTTTTTGTTGTCTAGTATTTTTTTTCTCTTACTTATGGGGCAATTTGCAAGCTTTTTGTACTTGGATTCTATTGGCTTCTGTTTGGCCGGTCTGTAGGGGTTTGGCCACCCCATCACTTGTATTTCCTTTTTTTTCTTTTTTCAGTTAATAAAATAAATTTATTATATATATATATATATATATATATATATATATATATATATATATATATATATATTTGAGTGTGTGTGTGTAAGTAAGTTTGTATGTATATATACTCGAGCAGGGTTTAATTGTATTGCATCTTGTGGCATAACACGTAGGCCGGATAAATTTGCTGCTGGCTCATCATGAAAGGTGAGGAATACCATAGGACATCTAGTACTTCATGCTCCTCACAAAATGTTTCTGCTTCATAACTATGATACATGAAGACTAATCATTGGTGAATCTCTTTGTCCAATGGGGATTTCGAAGAATGGCGATTGCAACTAGCATGCTCAAGAAGTTTGAGGAGATTCTAGATCGTTTGTGGTGACCCTTGACCAGAAAAAATGGCTAGAGACTAGCGATGACACTACCTAAATGTTGTGCGGCGACATTGATGCTCGCCAGCAACGGTGGTAATTAGTCCCTCTACCTCAGTAGGATTTAATACTAGATTTAGGTAAGCTTCGTGTTTGCTTCTGGAATTTGTGCTTTGTAAGGTTTGCCTTCATTCCTCTAAGCTCATTATTCTTGTTGAGTTGTGTCACTTAGTGGATTGTGTGATTTGTCTTCATTCAGCTCCAATCTACATTTTAGGTTTGTGTTTTGTCAATTGCGCAAATAAAATTTCAGCATATTTTTTAAAACAAAATGAAGATCCTTTCAATTTACCTATTGATTATCAGATCAACTTGGTAGTTCATTTATTATACTTTTAGAATATTAATCGTTCTAATAAGGAAGATTGAGAAACTCAATAGGGGTTGTGTGAATGACTTTTGTGTGTAATGTTTCCATATAATTTGCTGCAATAAGATTGCAAAAGGGAAAATGTCATTTACTAGCTGTCTAAATATTTTGCAAATGATGTTTTCTTCATATGCGTATCATGACCTTGACCTTAATTATTTTCAATTTGTTTTTCCATTTGTGATTATGGGATGAAGTGTTTGATATTGTAAAGTTTTCTCTGTCTATTGTAAGAAATCAGAATGGAGGAAGAACGTTGCGGAGCAGCGTTAATGAAGAATGAGAAGAATAAATTGGTAGAGTATAACGAATCGCGTACAACACTTTTAAATCAAATTTATTTCGAATTATACGAAATACATTAATCGAATAAGACGTTAATCAAGAACAAGCCTTTCGAATCATATCTTCAACCATACCTGAGCGTCTTTATTTATAGAGATGAAAATCAACGATCAGGCATGATCTTTCACGTACAAGTTTACAAGCTTTCACACGGTAGGGATAAAAGCAGACTTTCAATGTTTTGGATGGAAACGTTTGTAGAGTTTGGTCAAAATTGGTCTTTATCTGAAGTCTAGGATTTACTAATATTTTGGACTCCAATCACGAAAATCTAAAGGATTTTCATAAAGAAATAATGTCCAAAATAAAAAATTTCCTAGCTATCAAGGGCTCTGCCCCTTGGACCCTGCGAGAGGAACCAGAATCATACAATTTCACCTCAATCCTTCCTTGGGTCTACACAGATACTCTAGGTTTGTGTCAGATTTAATCCTCTTTTGGGTTTAATTGAGTTACTGTTTATCCGACAACAAATTTGATTTCGAGCTCCTGTAGATGTGGAAGCTAATTGCCCATCCACGACCACCATAATAAGATCTATTGAGAGACTTATCTTCACCAGTTTACCAACACTTGATGCTGCGGATTGCTTCACCTTAAACAACCCATGCAGAGCATTGAGCCGTTGGCCATGGTCGTGGGTGTGAGACTTTTTACCACTAGTGCTGGAGCTCACCACCTCTCCTCCCTTCCGAAGTCGCCGCTGCTAAGCCACCACCACCACTTACAGAACATGTCGCCACTGCTTCTGTTGAAAGATTTGCCATCACCATCACCGCTATGATCTATGCGTCAATGCTGCTGGCGATGGAGTCTACCACACACACCGCAGGTTGAATCAACATCATTGCAGCTCTATAACCAATCATAGATGCAGCTGCTAAGATCCACCATAGGCACTACTATCCCTCGAGGTATGCCATCTTCACTGTCGCAGAACCAAGAATACCGAACCGAAAAAGTGATATCTCACACCCACTAGTAGGTTAAGTATAGTGAGAACAAGTAATATCTAAACCGAGTAAACAAACAGATTAATCATGATATTCAATAATGATATTTGTTGATTCTTTGGATATTGTGTTGTTATATATTAATGCATGCTAGTTTACGAATTGGTTCTAACATTAGATTTTTACTCACTCGGCTTTCAGCTGAACATGTAGTCTTTCTTGTCTTTGAATGCACGTAGGAAAGAATCAAGGAATTGATGAACAACCCGGTGGTCAGTGATGCCTAGCGAAGTGGGTGGCCTAAAGTTTCTTTGTTTTGAATTAATTATGCTGTTAAATTTATTTATTTAAATTACGAGGATGTTTGTTGATGTTGTTTTAAAGGTTTCTACAATGTTTGACTTGTTTACTCCGATTAACTTATATTTATTTTAAATTATAATGAATGAATTCTTTATTTTAAATATCTTAAAATATTGTGCATGGGAATACAAAATTAGTAGCAACCCGATTCGCTAACTCGTTGGTTCAGGTTACGCAGGTTGTGTGTTACAATTGGACTCGTCTTGTTTTGCTCATCCAGTAGGGGGTTCTCGCAATGTTCCAGAGACAGTTGTTCCATGGGATAATTATGATGACATTGAAAGGTAACCATGCAAGGATAGGCAGCGGAATATAAAAGTTTTAACATCCTAACATGATTACCTTGCCCAGAATCACGTACTAAAACTTATAGTAAATAAGAAATTTATACCTTTCTCCGTAAGCGGTAAAAACGAAGAAGTCGTAGGAAGAGCGTTGAAAGTGCAAACGTAACCGTTCAAGCGTCCGGTCTCCAACTTTGACACACGAACAACGCCGGAGTCTACCACAATCTTTATGCTAGTAAAGATTATAGTAGTATAAAATATAAAGATTAAAATTGGGATAATAATAATCTTGTATATTTCTATAGAAAATATTTCTAATAATATTTAGAAAATATTATAGATATTTTCTATACATAAAATGATATTCATGGAACCCCAAATAATCACTTTCTCTCTTAAAATGAATATCATAATCTTTTTCTCTTCATCTATGAAAGTG